TGGGCGCAATTTTAATTGTCAAAAACTCCAGCGAACCATTAGTTCATTTTGCTCAAATAGAAATAGAGGCCTGCCTCTAATACTGGCCCTCCTTCCAATAAAGGCCTGGAGCTTGATGAGCTTGAGTCAAATAAAGCCCCGGGCCTGTATTAGAGGATTTACGGTGTATATATATATATATATATATATATATATATATAGCCATGCCCGTGATGTGTGTGTGTGTGTGTGGGGGGGGGGGGGGGGGGGGGGGGCATCGACATGGTCGGGACATGATAGAAGGGGGTGCGCGGCTAAAATAAGTTTGGGAACCACTGGACTGGATGCAATCGTGAATCTCCTCCGTGTTGTGTATCATGCGCTTGCCAAATTTAGCACGTCTGTTTATAAGAATATTTTCGTTAGAAGAGAAAAATGGCATGAACCCATAACTATGTTCCTCATTCAAAAAAGGACAACTCCGCAGAGAAAAATATACAGACGAGCTGTGTCCAGGTGAATATAACGTGGCATAGTTGTACGCTTTCAATTTTTAAAATACAGGAGAAATTCCAGAAAGTAAATTTTTTTACTATTAAAAGGCTGTTTTACTATCTAACGCTGTAAAACGCCTCACAACACATTTTTGTCAAAATAAATGATCACTGTATATTGTTAATTAATTCAAATAATGTAATATTGATTTAGTGTTGTAGTGTGTGTGCTGCTTTATTTTATATGTGTACTTATTTCAGTTTATTTGTGTTTCTTATGCAGAAAAAAAACAAGCAACGATGGACAACTACATGGGGAACAAGACACTCACCCCCCCAGCAATGCATACCACTTACAAACTCTATTCTAGATTCTACATTATTTTTATGGAATTTACCTCTTATATTTTGATTGCCAAAAAATTATTCTGGACTGATATTTTGCACTGTTTAGCTCATTTTACACCACTGACTGTGTTCATGTGCAATAAAATAGATTGCAGTCAACTGCACAATTCTCTTATGTTTTTCTTTTTCTTAACTGAAATGTATTCATCACTTGTATAGGTTAAATAGCTAAACAATAACAAACCGATTAATCGATTAATCAAAAAAATAATCGACAGATTAATCGATTATGAAAATAATCGTTAGTTGGTGCAGCCCTAATTCCATGGCTGTGGTGAGCGGGCAGTGCGGGCATTGTCTGGCCAGTGCCAGCTGATGCCACTGCACTACCCCACTTGCACCCACAGCCCTCGGTGTCTAAGTGCAGTTTTAAAATTGGAAGTGGGCACCGGCACTCGGGATGAGGCTGAGAAATCCCCCCTGCCAAATGCCGTTGAATGTGCTAGCTCCCAAGGCCCTAAGTGTGTGTTTGCGTGGAATGTCATTGGTGGAAGCGTTATAAGGTGGAAATAAAATTGGGGGGCAGGTTGCAACAGGAATGCGGAAAGGTGGGATCCATACCTGCACTCCCTGACTTTGTCCACCCCCCAAGGTCCTATGTGTATGTTGTGTGTGATGATGTGAGGGAGCAGGAGGAGAAAAATATGTGGGGATGGGGAGGAATGGCTGGTTGGGCTTAGCCCTCCAGGGAGCCAGCTCCCCTACTGGCCCCAATAGGCACCTCTGTTGTCAAATTGCCACCCAGGGCATGGGAGACCCCAGCCCATCTTGCCAGGGCCCAAAGCAGCAGTATTGCAGAGCCTCACGGAGTCCGAGGGCACCACCCCAGCCCCACCACCAGCAGAATATCTACTCCCATCCCTGCAATTGCACAACTTCCAGAATATATAAGACATTAGGACATCCTAGTATGGTTGGGTCCTTCCCCCTCCTGGACCATCCCCCTCCCCTGTGATGGGACAGCAGAGGAGCCAAGGTCTACCCGAGGCCCATGAACCCGGGCCAGGCACTGCTGCATGTTCCTGCCTTCTTCCTGGCGGCATACATGTCGGGACCCCGACCCCCAAGGCCCCGCCCAGATCCCCACATGCGGCGCCGGCAACCCCAGCACCCCGAGCCCCCACCCAGAACCGCCCAGGGGCAATGCAGCTGCCAGGCAGTGACCCATGGCCGCCGCCAAGACCTCCAAAGGGCCCCACTCACAACCACCAGTAGTCCACCCCCCGAGGCAACCCAAGCACCTCCAGAGGGGGGCAACGGCCCCCCCAGTCCCAGGCACCCCCAGTAAACCCACCTCCAGGGAACATCCGGATACTCCAAACTCAGACCCTCCACCCCCCCACCCACATCTTCCTGCAGGACAACATCAATGGTCCCCCATCATCGCTATGTGATGGAACCGATCAAAGGAGCCCAGAGAGATTGATTTGAAGTGGAAGCAGAGGCTAAATCAAGTGTAATATGATCTAACAAAAGATTTCTATACTGGTTAATGCAGAGAGTTTCTCTATTTTTCCAATTCAAGAGGATAGTTTTCTTAGCGATGCGCATGGCAGTCAGAACCACGTGAACCACAGATGTTTCAATCGGGACATCGTCCAGGTTTCCCAGTAAACAAAGAGAGGGGGTGGTTGGGATATGACATTTCAGAGATTTTGACAGATCCTCACATACTCTACCCCAAAATTCCTGGACAGGTGGACAGGACCACAGAGCATGAATGTAATTGTCAGGAATGTTGTTTGTGCAGTGTGTACAGGTGTCAGACGATACAAACCCCATCCTGAACATCCGATGACCTGTATAGTGTACTCTGTGTAGAATTTTGTACTGAATTAATTGTAAATTGGTGTCTGATCATTTTAAAAGTTTTTAAACAAGTTTGGGACCAGAAGTTCGGGTCAAAGCTGACTGATAGAGCCACCTCCCATTTTTCAATAGGGATTGCTATTCTATCGTCTATTTTGGACAGTGCCTTATATACTTTAGACAGTAGTTTGGGGGTTTGAGATTATATAAGTCTAATACCCTTGGTGGTGTTTGTAATTCTATTTTATTGAGCTTAAATTTTTGTTTGACTACAGATTTAATTTGGTGATATTCTAAAAAGCTATTCTTATCCATTCCAAATTGGAAGACTATTTTGTTAAATGGGATGAAGTCCAATCCTTCATATATGTGTTCCAGGTGTAGGATTCCTTTATTTTTCCAGTCCGGAAGGTTCATCATTTTGTTGTTTTGCAAAATATCAGGATTATTCCAGATAGGTGTGTGTCTGCATGGTACTAGTGAAGACTCGGTCATTTTAAGATACTCCCACCATGCTGTCAGAGAGGTGCTGATACTAATACTTTTGAAGCTTTCATGTTTTCTTATGCTTGAGCTAATAAATGGTAAGTCTGAAAGCTCTATCGTATTGCAAAGTGTCTGTTCTATATCTAACCAGGACTCATCTAATGGGTTATCTTGCAACCATCTTGGTATATATTGCAGCCTGTTGGCTAAGAAATAATAATAAAAGTTGGGTAGATCCAGTCCTCCTCTGTCTTTGGTATTCTGAAGCGTTTTTAAGCTAATTCGTGGAGGTTTATCCTGCCAAAGGAATTTAGTAATTGAGGAGTCCAGAGATCTAAACCAGTCAGCTGGTGGTTTGTTTGGGATCATTGAAAATAAGTAATTTATTCTGGGTAAGACCATCATTTTAATTGTAGCAACCCTCCCCATGAGTGATATTGGTAAGGATTTCCATCTTGCAAGATCATCTTCCACTTTCTTTTAAAGTGGGATGTAGTTTAGTTTGGTTAGATCTGCTAACTTGGGAGAGACATTAATTCCCAGATATGAAATTAATTGGTAGAACTGTGGATTTTAACCAGTTTATAGAGTAATCTGAAACTCTTGAAAAAGAGTTCATCAGTTCTATTGAATGGGAGAGAGAGGATTGAGAATTCTGGAGAAAGAGTAAAACATCATCTGCATAAACACTGATCTTATGTTCTATTTTCTTACACTTTATCCCTTTAATATCTGTTGCTTGCCTAATTGCTGCTGCTAGTGGTTCAATAAAGATAGCAAATAGTGAGGGGGAGAGTGGGCATCCCTGCCTGGTCCCCCTCTGAAGACAGAAGCTAGCTGATATTTGGTCGTTCGTCCTGACACGTGCTGTTGGTGAACTGTATAATGTTTGTAGCCAGTTTATGAAGAAGTTCCCAAAACCAAATTTAAGTAAACAAACTTCTATATTATGGCTTGTCCCTTTACCACTGTGAATCACCTGTCTGCAGTAAGTCCTAATCCCAGATCAGTAACACAACACATGACCCTTTGTGTTGTTACAGAAGCTCATCCAAACACAAATGACAGACCCACTGTGTTCACATCCTTCACAACACTTTACAGCATTAAAAAGTGTTTTCTATAAAATAAAAGGAACAGCTCTAGTAAACACAGAACCATGTTAGTCCAAACCCCGACAAAAGAAAACAAATACTGCAAAATATCCATCATCCCAAACAAAGTCAAACAATCAAGTGTTAAAATCACTCACACTAAAGCATCCAGAAACTATGGTTGGGCTAAATGTAAATGCATAGAAATGCTCTGGTCAAAAGGGCGATGTACTACTTTTGGTCACACTGTGGCAAAGACTCTAAATGAAACTGTTGAGACAGACTGAGTCCTGGCAGGCAGACAGCTCGTCCTGTCCTTCAGCACCATGATATTCTCATAATTATGTTCTGAAATCTTCAAATGCCTGCTGTCTGTTTGGAATTAGTTTCCATGGCAACAGACCAGACTGTCTGGCTTCAGCATAGCAACACCAATGAAGTGGTGTGTTTTGATTATAGTGACTAAATGAGAAGTTGAAACTGGAAATATGTGGAGCGTTCGTAAGGTGAGCGTACGTGGAGCATTCTTCTCACCTAGTGAGACTCATGTAAAGTGTGATTAGTGAGCATCAACACTAGTGACTCTGAGACCATAAGATAGTTGGGAGGATGGAGTGTAGAGTCAGTTTTGTCACGTCTTTATAATTTTATTCCAGGGGTTGTTGGTGTAGCTGTGGTCAGAGCACAAACATGTCCAGTGAAGTGAGGGAAACAAACAATTGTTCCTCACCTTTTGACACTGTGGGACAGACTGGTGCTACAGGATGATGTCGGAGGCCTCTCCTCTGCGCTCGGTGCCTGAGGACTAAGTCCTTGTCCTGTTGTCTGTCTGCTTCCTGGCTGCTTCTGCTGTTCCTCCTCTTCATCATCCATCTCCTCTGCGCCTGTCTTCTCCTTCCCTCGGCCTTCACTTTCGTTGTCGCTCTCCTCGCCTAAGATGTCGTCCACCTACATTTGGTTTGATTTTGAAGGGGAGCTTTTGTGAGTTATTTTTATGTACATTTGACAACTGTTCAACACTAACAGCATGAATACATATAGAACACACTGAAACAGAATCTGTGAACCTGATTATCCTTTCAAGCATCTAGACAATTAATGGCATTTTTCAAATTTAAGCCCTTTCCTTTCAAAATATTATTGTGTAATAATCAAAAAATAACAAGTGCTGCATCAGGTATCATCAAAAAATTGGTACATAAGCTGGCTCCCTTATATTCCATGACTAATTTTATCTAAAAGCGAGTTATAATATGATCCTTAAAGGCACACAGTGTAATATTTTTACCTGTTTACTAGGGGTCGTATTCGGTTCGGTTCAGAGTTTTGAAGAGCTCGGTTCGATTAATTTTGAGTATATTATTATTATATTATTTATTTAATCTAAAGCGGCTCCTATAGTGAGCAGAACCAGGTGTCACCACAGGCTGCTGATCTAGCACAATGTCTTTAATTATTTCACAGGTTATTTGCGCAGCTGAGTGTCACACTCATACAGACCAGTGTTGAATTTGACTGTTGATGCTCCGTGTTCTTATTTCTGCAGCAAGCCTTAAAAACTCACCTCACACCGCCAGATTTTTTCTTTAAATCTCGCATTAAATAACGAGCTTCCTCTGCGCCATATTTTTCATTGTAGGATGAAAACTTTACATCAATTGTCCCTAGGGATGGGTACCGAATTCGGTACTTTTTAAGGCACCGACCGAATTCCATAGGACCGACCGAGCACCGATTCACATCATTTCAAACGGTGACTCGTTTCGGTACCCGTCCTTCTTAGCGAGAACTTGCCTAGACAGCTGCGCATGCGCAAGAGCGTTATGTCGTCGCTCGCTGTGAGCGAGTTGTAAACAGAGCAGCATGGTAGAAAGAACGCACGCTAAAGCTTGGGTCCACTTCACTAAATGTGATGGGTAACTGGGTGATGATGAAACCAGCGACAACGATCTAAGAGACATCCTCATCTTAATCTGCTCCGGTAGGTAAATAAAATGTTTAAGATAACGTTAGCTTGATATGTTAGCTTCTGTTCTGCAAATGGTGCATTCGCTTTCTCCTCGGAACTCCGAATTTCCGACTAGAACATGAACGCGCTCTAAAGTTTGGCTTCACTTTACTAAATGCGATGGGTGATTGGGTGAAGATGAAACCAGCGACAACGATCTAAGTGTGAGGCATCATCGTTTTAATCTGCTCCAGCAGTTAAATAAACTGTTTAAGATAACGTTAGCTTGATATGTTAGCTTCCATTGCCACCGTTGTTAAAAGCTAATGGTGCGTTCGGTTTCTCCTCGGAAATTCTAACTTCCCAGTAGGAAAAATCAAATGGCAAAAGTAATGAAGATACACAGTAAATTTAGTTCACAGTAAAGATGTTTGCTTCAGTTTAATTATCAGCTTATAAAACTACAAGGACGATGTTAAAATACAAACAGTTGAATGTTATTTATCCTGATATTTATTATTTATTTATCAAATATGGTTATATATTGAGAAAAATATATATTTAATTATAAAAGAGAATTAAAAATATGAAACACTCAAAAGTATCGAAAATTGGTACCGTTAAGTACCGGTATCGATTCGTAGGTACCGGGAATTAGTACCGAATCGATTCAAATGTCAAAGGTACCTATCCCTAAGTCCCAGGGGGAAAGTTCCGCCCACATGTTTGTTTACATTTTTGCCGCTCTGCACCAGCACAGTGTGAGAGAAGGGAGGGGCAAAGCAATGCTCCTTTCAGCGTCTCTACAGGAGCCACAGTAGCAGCGACAGCCAGCTGGTTTGATCCGCCCTGAAAGGCGTTGATCAGAATTTGCATATCACATTTTTTAAATGGAGATCGGGTGCGTGCAGCAATCATGCGTCACTCAATACAGTGTCCGTGTGGAAACTTGCCTAGGAACTTTTATCCACTGCATTTACAACATGCAAACAAAAATTCATTTAACGGAAAAAATAAACCGTACCGAAACAGTTCAACCCCCCCCCCCCCCCCCCCCCCGTGAACAGTTACACCCCAACTTTTTACTATCAAATTTGTGTATCACATTCACAAACTTGTCCTTTTTCATTGGTATTTCTCACTGAGGTCTATTCTAAATATTCCCATTAGCTTGAAAGTTTACATTTTTATTTACATAAACTGTAGTCAACAATCCATAATCATGCACCGCAGCTGTTTAAGGACATGCAAGATATAATGCTCCGCCTTTCACGTTCGCATTCTGACATGAAAAGTTATCCTCCCTCTAAATGTTGTGCGATGGTGGCACCGGTTCTCTCCATGGCAGCCTCTAACTACATGTGATTGCTGGATTGAAATCTGGAAGTCGTTAATAACTGTGGCGATGTGTGCACGGCTGCGGGGAGGAGGGAGACAGGTAATGTGGCATACGCGTTAGACATGGCAGAAGCAATTTACTAATCAGGCCCATTCTACAAATATTCACAGGACACGGACAGAGGGCTCTCAACTCCCTGCAAGACGCTGACTAGGAAGCAGCAGACACAATATATAAAACTTGCGTACGGTTGAAGGCTTATGTGTGGTGTTTTCATGGCACTAAGGACTCAGATGTTTTTACACACTAGCTTACCGAGTTCCAGCTTCTTTGCTTTTTGTTTGTAAACAATTTCATAGATTGTGTAAAGCCAGTTTCTCAGTGTGATTATTGTGAATGGTATTTGTAAGGGTATTGTCTTTACAAGTTTGCAGGAGTTCTCAATTTCCTGGCAATTTGCAGAGTCCTGCTCCTTGTGATAGCCTGGCAGGAATGAAAGCTTCGTCATACTTTTTATGGAAATTTTATATTTCATTACTTTAATCCTATTAACTGAATGTCCTGAAAGCATTCTCACACTCACACACATTCTCCCATAAACACACACTCACTCTCTCCCTCACATGACCTCACTCCCATTCCTTTCTTATCTTTTGTAATAAATAAACTCTGTGAGCAGAATTCGGGGTATTTGCTCTGTGCTCTTGCCACAAATTATAATTTGGTTGTATGTCTGCCTTATTGTCTCTTGTCTCTCTCTCTAGCTGCAGGAAATGGGTTTATTGATAAAATATATTGATAAAATCCCTAACACACTGATAATGGACATGTGATCAGTTTCGCCCATGCTGCTCTATATGTAAATTCACTTTTAAAAGTTGAAATGTGAAAAAGTGGCTTGATGAAAAACAACAGAAGATGGACACAGCCAACTCACCCATTTGTCCAATCACCCAACCCTCCAAACTCATCAACGATCCCAGCATCATAACCAGCAACACACATCCACAACCCATAGTTTATGTATGTGGACGTATTTATAAGTTCCAGATTTCTCACTTGTGCCAATGTTGAACTGAATTCACAACTAATGTGAACAACCAATGAGGACAGGTCATAGCAAAAAAAGATCTATTTAATAGTGTAACTGTGAAAATCATGTTTCCTTGCACAACTCATGCAAAGCAGTCTCCAACTAGCTGCCAATAGTGACATTCTAGTGAAAAAAGAGCTTAACTGAAGTAAGTGTAAAATATTCTTAGGATATTTATTTTGGTTTCCCCTTCCGGAACTGCGCTGCTCTGGGTGGCTACATGTTGGAGTAGCTCTGTTGACTATATGTAAGATTAGCCTTTTTTTGGACATTTTTTCATTTAGTTTCTCAAGAAAAACTGTATTTTTTGGACATTTTACTTTTCTGTTTCTGGTGATGTGAAGCTTAGAGGATTTTTACCGCTATTCTTTCACTTTTTGAGCATTGTTATGATGTGTAACCATGGCAACAAGCTGGTTTACAATCGGGAGCAGCTGATTAACATTGGGAAGGCTGAAATAATACCTCAACTGAAGCCACAAATCCCAAATGAGCTAAAACGCAAGAAGTGTGGGTGCAGAGCGGGGGCAAAACGGAGACAGAGAAAGAGGAAATTCAAACCATCTCTTCCATCGATCATAATGGGCAATGTGAGATCACTGGCCAACAAGATGGATGAACCCCAAGCCCTTTCAAGGACTCAGCCAGAGTATCGGCAGTGCAGTGTTATGTGTTTCACAGACGTGGCTGCAGGACCATATCCCCGATTCCAGCGTCTCTCTGCCAGGATTCCTGACTGTACGAGCAGACAGAGATCTGAAGAGGAGCGGGAAAAGAAAAGGAGGTGGAGTGGCAGTGCTTGTCAACAACAGATGGTGCCATCCAGGTCATGTTTCAGTGAAATGTCATCTCTGCAGCCCAGATGTTTAACTCTTGGCAGTAAATTGTCGCCCATATTATTTGCCGAGAGAGTTCACCAGTGTTGTCTTGGCAACCGTTTATATTCCACCTTCAGCCATTGCTGAAAGTGCATGTGATGCCATCAGTTCGATTGTCGCTAAGCTACAAACCCAGCACCCCAATGCATTTGTGGCTATATCTGGTGATTTTAATCATGCCTCGCTCTCTGCTACACTTCCAACATTTCAACAGTTTGTCAGCTGCTCCACCAGAGAAAACAAGACATTGGATCTGTGTTATGCAAATGTAAAGAATGCATACATGTCCAAAACAAGACCTCCTCTGGGACAATCAGATCACAATCTTGTTTTTCTCTGCTCAGAATACAAACCACTTGTTCAGAGGCAACCTGTGACAAGAAGAACTGTGAGAAAATGGTCACGGGACGCTGAAGAAGCCCTGCAGGGTTGTTTTGAAGCCACAGATTGGATGACTCTCTGCCAAGGATATGAAGAGGACATTAATGCCATGACTGGATGTGTCACTGACTATATAAACTTCTGTGTGGATAATATAATACCCACCAGAACAGTGAGATGCTTCGCTAATAACAAACCCTGGATCACCAGTGAACTGAAGAATCTGCTAAATGAGAAAAAAAGAGCCTTCAAGGAGGGAGACGGGGAATTATTGAGGAGTATACAGAACCAACTGAAGATCAAGATCTG